GTTCTCTCTGTGTGTGTGTGTGTGTGTCTCTCTCTCTCTCTCTCTCTCTCTCTCTCTCTCTCTCTCTCTCTCTGTCTCTGTTTTCCTCTCTCTCCCTCAGCTGTAGACCCTCTGCCTGCCACGTAGACGATCTACTTCTGGTTTATCTAACTTCTCTTTTTTCCTACCTATTCCTTTCCTTTTTTTCCTTCCTTCCTGTCTTCATTTCCTTCCTTCCTTTTTTATTTCCTTCTTATACTTAAGTCATATTTTCCTTCTTTTTTCCGCTGTTTTTACGTCTTTCTTTCCTTTCTTCCTTCAGTTGTTTCTTCCTTCTTTCCATTTTCTCCTTCCCTACTTCTTTTTACTCTGGTCGTTCCTTCCTTCATTCATTTCTTCTTTTTTTCCCTTCCTTTATTTCCTTGCTTTATTATTTTCAGTTCTTTATTTTTTTTCTTTCTTTCCACTGTTCCCTTCTATCTGTCAGTCCATATGGTGCTTAATTGGATTTACAGTAAGCTACTATGAAAGTTTAAGGCTACACAGTTTTGCCATATCATTCTTTGCCTTTCTCTGTACTCATTCTACTGGCAGTAATTAAAGAGACAACATTTAGAGTAAAGGACCATCACTCTCCAGAGACCTTGACACTAATAGGATATTTTAGAGATGCTTAATAACAACTGTCTCAGTGTTTCAAAACCCAGTTTACTCTTTTAAAATTAGTTTAAAATGTTGCTAATTTTCAATGGGTTTCTGTTTATGAAAGTTCAATGTACTGCCGTAATTCACCTAAAACAGACTTGCCTCCCAAATTTGCTTAATTGAATTGATGTTCCATTTGGCCATAAGACAAATGGAGCTTTACTGAATAGATTGTGTTTGTGTTGGATTGGAAACATAACACCTGTTCTGTACATGTCGAATCACCTAACTTCTTAACTTTTTTTTTTTTTTTGCTTTCGGAAAATGTGTAAATTCCTCTCAAATTGTGCAAGCAAAACACTGCCTTGACCATGCAAAGGGATTTGGTTATGCAATGGAGTGGCAAACTGCGAACACAGGAATCAGATCATTCTGTAATTCCAGTAAGTCGTGCCTTGTGTCCTGCCAGAGCATTGTGAGTGTCAGCTGTCAGTTTTAACCTGATCAAATAGCCTTGTGGGCCACCCTCCAAGCTGCATTCCTCAGGTGCACCCCTCTGAACTTGGGTTAGGAGGACCATGGATGTGTCCCTGATGACCTGGAACATAGGTTTCCAAAGTCAGATTGCCTACACGTGAGAATGCACTCATGTTCTCGTTTTGGGTTGTTATGACCTCTCGTCACACATTATACCTCTCTTCCTGGCCGTTTTTTCCCAGCTCTTACTTTCCCCATCCCCCCTTTTATTCTTCTTCAGAGTTTAGGTTGGCAGAAGGCCAAAGAGATAGAAGGAGGGAGAATGGGAAAGAGAGCGCAAATCGGAAGGCAGGGTTTCACCGAAAGACTAAAAAGTGTCCATGAGTGCATAAAGCGCATGAAGGAGGAAAGCCAGACCTCCTCCACTTTCCCCAAAACCATGTGATCTGCTCATCTCTCACTTACAGGCACAGATACCGTAACTGCCGGAGCCGGTTCCTGACCATTTCTTCCTTTTTTTTCTGTCACATCCATCCATCTTTGTCGCTGTTTGTGTCTGTTTCTGTACATCTGAGCGGCCCTGTCGTTCATGTCACAGAATACCTCAGGCAGGTACGACGATTTATTATAAATTATTTCACCCTGCTGGAGGTCTGTTTACTATTGTCCTCCTACGTTATCGACACACTGTTTTCCTGTTTAACACTGTAAAGTTGTTTTGACACAATATGTATTGTATAAAGCGTAGAGCCCTGCACGGGCCTCAAATATAGGCCCTAGCCCTCCAAATATGGACTAACCCAGCTGTTGGGTTAAATTTTTTAACAACCCAGCATTTTTTTAGAGTGTACTCTTTCAGCTATTAAAATAGTTCAGCTTTGTATGTAATGTCAAAGTGATTATATGTCGTTTCGTTTTGTTATCAAGTTCATTTCAAAAAACGTTTGGAGCGTCTTTTTGTTCGTTAAATGTACGTTTTTGTTTTTTAAAGTAACGACCAAGCGGCCAGCGGCAGTGAGCGGCATCATAGCCTATGTTTGATCAATTTAGCCTTCTCAAATCATCACGACATGCCTAAAATAAAATCTATAGATATAAAACTGTTCAAGCATATCACAATGTTAGTTTAAATGTTTAACCTATATACAGTAAATGTGCGCTATTAGACGCATATCTAATCGTTTGTGCGGAGAGCTAAAGCGCGCTTTACAGGACATGGAGGCGCCGGCGCGATCACTTGCATTGGAAACAACTTAAAATATAAGTTAATAAAAAGGTAAGAGTAATATATCACTCGGAACTGTAAAGGGTCTACTTTTATTTGTGTGCACTCACAATATCAACAAAAAGTTGTGCTTTTATAAAATAAAGGATACATACAGTATGCACGTTCTGCAATTTCGGCCAGGAGCGCTTCACAATGATGAACCGAAACCCAGCAAATACTTTCCTCACAGACTTGCTAAATATATCTATAGAAAGCTTTAATTAATTACTACTTTAAAACTAAAGAATTCAAATCAAAAACAAAAACTATTTTTACAGATTTTATGCATTTCTAAAGGCGTGTCCAATGAGGAGATGGCGAGTCAGGATAGTCATCTTCATCTTTGCGACACGGACTCAGAAAACACTAATTTATTAATACTTAATTGAATTGATGTTCCATTTGGCCATAAGACAAATGGAGCTTTACTGAATAGATTGTGTTTGTGTTGGATTGGAAACATAACACCTGTTCTGTACATGTCGAATCACCTAACTTCTTAACTTTTTTTTTTTTTTTGCTTTCGGAAAATGTGTAAATTCCTCTCAAATTGTGCAAGCAAAACACTGCCTTGACCATGCAAAGGGATTTGGTTATGCAATGAAGTGCCAAACTGTGAACACAGGAATCAGATCAGCCTGTAATTCCAGCAAGTCGTGCCTTGTGTCCTGCCAGAGCCTCGCGAGTGTCAGCTGTCAGTTTTAACCTGATCAAATAGCCTTGTGGGCCACCCTCCAAGCTGCATTCCTCAGGTGCACCCCTCTGAACTTGGGTTAGGAGGACCATGGATGTGTCCCTGATGACCTGGAACATAGGTTTCCAAAGTCAGATTGCCTACACGTGAGAATGCACTCATGTTCTCGTTTTGGGTTGTTATGACCTCTCGTCACACATTATACCTCTCTTCCTGGCCGTTTTTTCCCAGCTCTTACTTTCCCCATCCCCCCTTTTATTCTTCTTCAGAGTTTAGGTTGGCTGAAGGCCAAAGAGATAGAAGGAGGGAGAATGGGAAAGAGAGCGCAAATCGGAAGGCAGGGTTTCACCGAAAGACTAAAAAGTGTCCATGAGTGCATAAAGCGCATGAAGGAGGAAAGCCAGACCTCCTCCACTTTCCCCAAAACCATGTGATCTGCTCATCTCTCACTTACAGGCACAGATACCGTAACTGCCGGAGCCGGTTCCTGACCATTTCTTCCTTTTTTTTCTGTCACATCCATCCATCTTTGTCGCTGTTTGTGTCTGTTTCTGTACATCTGAGCGGCCCTGTCGTTCATGTCACAGAATACCTCAGGCAGGTACGACGATTTATTATAAATTATTTCACCCTGCTGGAGGTCTGTTTACTATTGTCCTCCTACGTTATCGACACACTGTTTTCCTGTTTAACACTGTAAAGTTGTTTTGACACAATATGTATTGTATAAAGCGTAGAGCCCTGCACGGGCCTCAAATATAGGCCCTAGCCCTCCAAATATGGACTAACCCAGCTGTTGGGTTAAATTTTTTAACAACCCAGCATTTTTTTAGAGTGTACTCTTTCAGCTATTAAAATAGTTCAGCTTTGTATGTAATGTCAAAGTGATTTTTCGTTTTTTCGTTTTGTTATCAAGTTCATTTCAAAAAACGTTTGGAGCGTCTTTTTGTTCGTTAAATGTACGTTTTTAAGTAACGACGTTGATCGTAGCCTGTTTGATCAATTTAGCCTTCTAAAATCATCACGACTTGCCTAAAATAAAATCTATAGATATAAAACAGTTCAAGCACATCACAATGTTAGTTTAAATGTTTAACCTATATACAGTAAATGTGCGCTATTAGACGCATATCTAATCGTTTGTGCGGAGAGCTAAAGCGCGCTTTACAGGACATGGAGGCGCCGGCGCGATCACTTGCATTGGAAACAACTTAAAATATAAGTTAATAAAAAGGTAAGAGTAATATATCACTCGGAACTGTAAAGGGTCTACTTTTATTTGTGTGCACTCAGAATATCAACAAAAAGTTGTGCTTTTATAAAATAAAGGATACATACAGTATGCACGTTCTGCAATTTCGGCCAGGAGCGCTTCACAATGATGAACCGAAACCCAGCAAATACTTTCCTCACAGACTTGCTAAATATATCTATAGAAAGCTTTAATTAATTACTACTTTAAAACTAAAGAATTCAAATCAAAAACAAAAACTATTTTTACAGATTTTATGCATTTCTAAAGGCGTGTCCAATGAGGAGATGGCGAGTCAGGATAGTCATCTTCATCTTTGCGACACGGACTCAGAAAACACTAATTTATTAATAATTAATTCAGATATCTCCTTACTATTTCCCCCGACATATTCATGGTAATTACCTACTTTTGCTGGGGCTTTGCGGCACGCTTTAGCCTATTGCATGCGTTTTTTGCTGTCATGTGCAAGGATATGTTTGCAGATTCTGCACTGCACATGACCAATTGACTCACTGTTTGCCGTGGTAATCAAATCAAAATGCAGCTTTTCCCGAAGCATTGGGAACTTTTAGTAACTCCCCACTTCTCCCTGATGCTCTGCATGGTCAACTATCACCTGTATGCTAATGCACGCGTATATGCGTAGGCGATGTATAATATTTTATTATTTTCAATATAACAATATTTCATACAGTAGTGTGCTCTGCGCGTATATGGGCACAATAAGAGGAGAGAAGCTAAATGAGCCCGAGCCCGATCTGTAAAAAAAAAAAAAAAATGTCAGGGACCCGACGGGCTTGCAGACCTCTAATAAAGGGCTATATAAATAAAGGTGACTTGACTTGACTTCCTTTAGGGAAGACTGGATGAGTGATGTGTAAATGTTGCCCAACCTTTAATTGTAGGTAAAATCATGATGATATCATGCACATTTTCAGTTCCCATGACTCCCATGTCTTTTAATAGCTGGCCACCTGCAACTTGAACATGTCTGTTATAATTATACATTTCTAGGAATAGAACAGCATGCGTAAAGAGGTGCATAAACTTTAGATGGGACATTTTTGGTGGTCAAGTAACGGTATTCTGATTTTTGTTGAAGAATTTTGCAGCTTATTTTAACATTTGCCATTTGTTTAATGTGTTAGAACACACATTGTATCCAACAGTGCGCTGATCTGTTTCTCACATATTTAGAATTCCATGTCAGGATTTCTGTTTGACATCTTCCTGGCCAGGGTACAGGGTGTACTGAAAAACTGAATTGGACATTTTGAAGAAGGGAGAGAGAAAATGTGCTTGTGTTAACTTTCTCGAACATTTTCCCCAAATGCAAGCCACTGGAGGAAGTTGAGAGTCATATTAATTGGTGTGAAAGAGTCTGCACCATTATCGCTGAATGAACTTAATGCTTGCTATTATGAAACACGATGCTGGATGTTTTTTGTGGCTAATGGTTCATGTTTTGTAACCTTCTTGGCTACTAAGGTTGACATTTTAAACCTGTTAGCAAGATTTTCTCTAACATTACCCTTCCCAGGATCCCTCGAGCAGCGCTATCACTAGAAGAACGCATGTTTCCCACCCACTCTGGGGTGACGGCAGTCTACAGTGTGAGTGATTACACACAGATGTCCACTAACAATCATTACACATCACTATAATGTATATACGTAGACAATCCCCAAGGCCAAAAATATACTTGAAGCAAGTATGTGAGAGCATGTGGTCCTATTGTACATACTTACTGTGAGTTCTTTTATCATTATTATTATAAGCAGTTGATATAGATGCTTTTAACTATCTGTCTGAGCTAGCTATATACATGTTGACAGTTCAACTAGCTTTAAATA